GGGGGGGGGGGGGGGGGGTTGTAAAATATATATAGTGTGTGTTTTCTTTGTAGTGGTGGTGTGCATTGACACACAACTGCAATATTCATGTAGCACATAAGAAAATTCAACCCGCCCAAGGCTAGAAAATGTGAGAAGGAACACTGGCACTGGCGGAGCTGTGAGGTAGGGCTGTGAAGAGTCAGGGGTTGGGATAGTGGGGCACAGCGTTCCCTGTAAGCTGAGCACTTGGGCAGCCGCCTGGTAGAGGTCAGACACTGCCCAGCTGATTGGCAGAGTGCCCACAGCCAGCAGCGAGTATTTCGATGGGTGGTGCACATCGGTGCATGCCTTGGTGCATGGAACAAAATTTATTTCACGCATGAATGGAAACTCAATTAGAGGGAACATCCATGGGGGGCTGTGGGTTGGGATTGAAGGGCATTGGCCGAGTTGGGAAGAAGGCAGAGAGCCCAGGGCCAGGGTAATAGGAGGGCTGTGGGACAGGATTATGGAGTACTGGCTGAGCTGCAAGGGGTCAGGGGAGGCCTGCGCTGAGTTAGTGGGGTGTAGGGTCTATGGGTCAGCATTGAGGGGATTGACAGAAGGGTGTTCTGGTTTCTCTATTGGTTTCTGTTTTGCTCTTTTTAGAAAGGTCCCAGCCTTTAAGACTTGGCTTCGTGCTCTGAGTTTCTCAGATTCCCCACTTGTTCTAGGGAAATGACACAGGCTGCACAGCTCTCGGTCTTACCGATTCCTTGAACCGGGCTCTTTCTCAGCAGAGCTTTGTCGCTTCCCTCCAGCGGGGAGGGGACCAGGCCCGCGGGGCGGCATGGCTCTGGACAATGGCCGAGTAACCCTGAGCTGGTACCTGGGGTCGTGTCTAACTGCTGGGGAGGGAGCCGGTCGGCAGGGGATGAATCGGCTGCTCTGGGCTCTCTCCGTGAATAGGCGGGAGGCACGGTCTGAAATTGGTGGCAGGTCTTGCAGGTAACTAGAAGATTTACCGGCTTTTCTTTTTCCCAGGTCCTTCAGGGGGAGGGGATGCAGAGGAGCAGCAGGACTGAGGGGGTGAAGGGGCACAGCCGGGAGAGGACAGCGGGGGTATGTACAGGGCCGATGGATGAGCTGTAGGGGTGACATGTATCCAGCCATCGCACACGGTCTGAAATTGGTGGCAGGTCTTGCAGGTAACTAGAAGATTTACCGGCTTTTCTTTTTCCCAGGTCCTTCAGGGGGAGGGGATGCAGAGGAGCAGCAGGACTGAGGGGGTGAAGGGGCACAGCCGGGAGAGGACAGCGGGGGTATGTACAGGGCCGATGGATGAGCTGTAGGGGTGACATGTATCCAGCCATCGCAGGGAGAGCCCGTGCAGGTGAGGAGCGAGGGGGCTGCTGGCCAAGAGGAGGCACCGTGGCAGGGACGGTGCCCACAGACCAGGAAGGGGAGCAGCCGCCCCTGCACCCTGCAGCTTCGCCCCACTCCTGCCTTGCTCCCCCACCCCCATCGCCAGCCACTGGATCCCCCCCATTGCTGGGATGTGGGCAGCAGGCGAGCAGGGATCCAGCAGCAGCAGGACCCACACTCCTGGTGGGAAGAGAGAGACAGAAAATATGGAAAAGTTTGCGGCTTTTTTTTAAAAAAAAGTTGCAGCACCTGCAGAACGTACAGGCCTCGATACGGGGCCACCTCTTTAAAAACGAGAACCACAAAGCAGCCTCCAGCCTTAGGGTTCTGGGCAGAAACGGTGAGTAAATGACTAAGCGTGTTCCAGAGCTGAGTGACACCGAAAGATCCCCACACGCACATGCGCCCCTGTCCGACCGCCTCCTCTAACTGCGCCCAGCCACTGAGTTACGTCTTATTCTTGTATTCGACCCGGCGGTTCTCAGCCTGCGGGTCGCAACCAGCACTGGGCGGTGGGACGTCCGGGTCTCGTGGCTGCAGGGGGCTCAGGTGAGCAGTGGGGGGGGCTAAGGCAGCTCCCTGCCTGGCCTAGAACCTCAGGCTGCCCTGTGGGATCAGGCGACCAGTGGGGGGCGCTAAGGCAGCTCCCCACCTG